GTTGTTTTGCAATGTATGACTAATTAAAAAGTGGATGAAAAATTGTTTATGGGTGGACGCGCTCAGCATTGGCCGAAGCAGCTCCCCTTGAAGTCAATTTACCATTATTTCAATGGAAGCAGTTAGGCCAACAAGAGCTTTTGAAAATCTTACTAACTATAAAGGCAGAGAAACAAATAGCCTGACCGAAAGATGTCCATTATATAACCTGCTCACAGATAGAAACAGAAGGAGAGAGGATCTTAAGCACACAAAATTTCTAGATGATGAAAACTTATTGAATTTTCTACTGCTTATATTAAAACTTGTTTTATTTTGCATTGAAACTAAGTCTCTCTACGTGCAAGTTTAACTTAGATAGCTTCCCACCACCTCCTGGATTTGGTTAAGTCTTGGAATTTTTCATTGTACAAATGAGGCACAACTTTGGTATGGGGTTGGATAGAATTATTCTAATTCTTCACAGATATAATTGTAAGACATATTCCAGTTCTCTCCCATAGGAGAAAACAGAAGGAAATGTTTTTCTAACTTAAGGCACACCTGCCATTCTAAATTGTGTCTTCTAAGCAAGCTCAGAGTAAAGTCTAGACAAAAGGTTGCACTGGGATGAATAACTACTCTGAATCAGTCAGAACACTGACTTGAGCCTGGGATTTCCACATCTCAGCCTAGCACCCTAATGACCACACTATAGAAAGTGGTTAACATGCATATGCACTTTTTTGATGAAATCTTTGGAAAGGTTTTATTTTCATTCCAATCCAAAACAAAAACAAATTTCTAAACATTGTGAGTTGCTGCAAAACAGAATTTTCATCCTCCGGTGAGCTCCAATATTTATTCTCTCAATAGCATCCAGATCAAGCCACGTTGTTTTCTTTTTTCCTCATGCATCATATAAAGTAACAGAACTTACAAAAGGAGAACTTCATGGACAATTGCCCATGAAAAGAATCCAGCTCACACTTCCCTAAACCATAGTGGATCTATAGTGCTAATAGGAATCAAATTTTGTTTGCAGCAATCTCAGGGGAAAAAAAGGCAAATATGTTCAGTAAGGTAGTACCATTTTTATGGTGTCACTTTTGTGACTAGTTATGCTCTAGGTATGCCCTGGTACTAAAGCCCATATTAAGATGTTAGATATTTTCCTCTCTCCCAATGACTTAATAGGGAGAAGTTTCAACTTAGTTTGTAAAATTTACATTCTAATTTAAAAAAAAATATCACCCGATTAATTTTGAACAAACTCTAGTGCTCATGAAAGTTGCCAGAATGATACTCTAGACAATGAATTCATTAATTCAAGAGGTACAGAAGCACTAGCAGTGTGAACTGGCTACTAGGAAAGGGACTCATAAGTTCATGTAAACACAGCCCGAATAGACATCAGAAGGTAATGAGAACATGCTACAAGACCCCACGGTTTGCTAAAGCTTCCCCACCAGAACTGAAGGGGGAAATACAGATTCCTAGAAGCTGGGAGACAGAGCAGAAAACTCCATAAAGTCCACTGCGGACATTGCCATGCACTTAGGCACTACAGTGATGGAACGACAAAACCCTAAGCTAGGTAACTTTCTTTCACTGCCAGCCTGGACCAAGTGTGAACCAAGGGAAAGGTTGTGTGTCCAATTCCTAAGCCCTGGAACCATCCAGTCTCCATACTTTTAAATGACGAAATCTCTCAGGCTGAGAGAGAAGAGAGTGCTGCTGGCCCACACACAACATATATTGCTCTGACACTTGAATAAGCACTTGTCAACACCTCAAAATATATATTATCACACTTTAATTACCCTTCCTATTTTCTATGGCCGTGTTCCAGTAGACAAGCTATCAAAGAGGTGGGCCTTACATTTTGGTTTGATTTCTGGTGACAAGTCTTGTGGGAGTTCTAAAGTTTCAGGTCTTCCAACAGATAGCTCGCTCGCTCTTCCTAGAACCCTTTACCATCGTAGAAGACTATTCCCTTATCACTATCGGAGGGAGAAGTGGTTCTTGAGATAAGGGCTGTCCAAAGCAGGGCTCTGAATACACCATCAGGACCTTGAATACAATCTGCTCTTTCACAGGGAATTAGCATAGTGATTGGCACACATCAATGAAGCCTTCACAATCATGTGTGTTTTCAGCAACACAGTATACCAAACTATTTGGCGTTTCCCCACTCCTGTCTTTAGTCCAAGTGGTGCTACCATAAAGCGTTGAGGTCATTACTGATCACAGCAGCCAGTCCTCCTTGGTCAAGATGATATGAAGTCACTTCAACAGCTGAAGATAGATGCAGGTATTTGCTTTATTTTAGTATATCCACTAGCCAAGAGGAGTGAAAAAAGATGCAGACTTTGTGTCTTTTCTGCCTGCTGGAAAGCACTTTTGCTGGAGACACCTCTACATCTTGTCTAGATATAAGAAGATTCTTGTGTTTCATTCTGGTACATTACAAGCACTTTAGAATATAAAATCAGTTTGCCTAAACTGGACTAGAAATAGCTTCCAAAGTTATCAGCAACCTCACTAAAGACCCCTCCCCCTTTTTCTGGGCCTTACTCTTTCAAAAAAAGTTGATAAGATAAGTTGAAAAGATAAGAAGCAGTAGCTCACATTTCAGGTAACTAAAGCCCTTTGAAAGTGAAGCTTCTACAATGGCCATAGCATTCCCTCCTTCCACAGGGCAGTATATATGGCAGTTGTGATTGTATGGGTCCCACTGTCCTTGCTGAACTGCCATCAATTTCATCCTGGTCTAATGAGACTTTTATATTTAATCCATTTTATTAGTTTCTTTTTTATTTTACACACAGCCAAATTTAAAAGTATACTTTCCTATAAGCAGCACAGCTCCAATTCCTTTCTAAAGCCATTATGGCAGTGAATACTACCTTCAAAAGGGGAACTCAGTGTAACCAAGCCAGTGTTAAATGCCTATAGCAGCAAACAGATTCAGGCTTGTTAACTCTGGAGTATAGTGATTACCATTTCAGTGTCAACATAACATTGTTCACGGTCACTGGCCATTTTTGTAGAACTGTGCTTAATCCAAATATTGCAGTCAGACAACTAGTTGCTCTCAAGCAGTTCAAACTAGAACTCTGATTTCAAAGTTATCTCCAGCCTTGCTCAAAAGAAGGACAGTGGGAAAGAAGAGATGCAATGTATCACCTATCCAGGATCCAAAACTTGAACCGTCTCCCTCCCGTGTTCCTTGGTCCAAAAGGCCCATCACCTTCACCAAACACTGAAAGCCTTCAGTACCACCTCATTTTCTACAGCGGTTTTGTTTTGCAATATAAGAACCTGCAGCACTTAAAAGAACATGGAAATGTGAATAATCTTTAAAAATCCTGATCTGACTGATAACTTTTGTTTAGCTAATAAAATGTTCATGCAAATGTTCTGAGTCGGATAAATTATATAGGACAGTGTCTGAGCATTGACTACATAATTTATTTAAGACTTTTGGGCAAGTGATTACATTAATGCTAAAGAGGATAATGAAATCCCTCATCTGTAATTATTTGTATTTGAGAATACATTTATAATAAAAAAGCTCAGGGCATTACATCAAAGATTTCTGTCTTTCATGGATAACTGCACATGCTTTTTCTTTCTGCTGCAAGATTCAGATTTAATGTGTCTTATTACTTAGCCAGTAAAATCTGAATGCACTCAAAAATTCTGGAGATTCCCATTGGCCTCTGGAGAATTCCACTGCACAGAGCTCCAAGTGGGGGAAAGATCACCTCATATGGGCGACAAGGACCAGCAACCCGGGCTCTCAAGGATAAGCAGGGGGTTCAGAGCAGTAGGATGTGCCAGAGATAGGTGCCCGATATGCTGATTCACAGCATCCTCTGAGAAGCCTCCCTCTGCTAATTAGAACTGCCCTCCTTTGGAGCTCCAGGGAAGGCAGTGGCTAAGCATTCACATGGGCAGAGAAGGAGGTGGCATTTTGCATCCTCTACATATCAAGAGGGTTGAATTAAGCAAACAGATAAACATTTTCATTAGAGAGTCAACAAAACATGTCCGTTTACATGGTCACAAAGCAAACATGAGTAAGCAGTTAAATGTGAAGAGTTGGTCAATAAATTATCTACCACAGAAAATCATCAACTGCAATGACCTAAAGCAGATATCAAACATCTTCCAGCCAGAGACAGAATCCCCCATTTTGTTAGGGAGGAATATAAAATGCCTTATAGAAAAAGATAAGAAAAGGGAATGCGTGGGATAATATGCAAGGGTAATCTACACTAAATATTGGGCAAAGGTCAATTATACAGTTAAAGTTGAATTTGCTTTTCCACTGTAAACCCTATAGTCAGGAACTAAAAAGTCTTTTGAAGGCTCAGCAGTGCAGTATACCGTTTGCTACCCAGAAGCAATAAAACATTTAACAATAGTTGAAATAAGTAGTTTCTATTTCGAAAACAAAAGAAAAGCTTCCCCTTTCAGTTTAGTCACTAAGCAGCTGCTGAAGTCAATCCTTTGGATTTTTGAGTGGCAAATAAAATGGAATTGTTGAATGATAACCACAAAAGACAATTTAGAAGTTCACTCACGTTACTACAAACATAAGTCTCTGTCTTGTCAGTCTTTTGCAAAACCCTGTAATCTTTGCTTCCAAATTCTCTCAAGGTCTCTCATGAAAACTGCACTGTACACTACTGATAATGTAGCTCATCTGTTCTATACACAATTCTTCTGGCTTCTGTAGAAATCAACAACCTTATGAATACATGGCTATTCACATTAATTTTAGGGTATGTCTTCTAAATGAGAAATACTGCAATTGTACTGCAGCTTTTGAATTGCCTTTGTAGAGAACAATCACAACAAAAACCTTTAAGGTTTAAAAAAGGTAAGAAAGCCAGATCCTCCTCTTCATGGTTACACATTTTACAAAATTAAATTGACTTAGAAACCTTAGTGAAATTGGTTACTGTGTGCCAGCAAATCAGAAAGAGGCAAAACAATCTTGGCTCCAGATATATACAAAAAGAATATTTTTATTCAGTATCACAAAAGACCACATATGAACAAAGACCTATTGTGACCTTCTCAATTAAAGAAACTGCAATAAGGCAGTGGCCTACTTAAGGAGCCAAAAACAAATTAAATATTTTGTTCTGAGGAAGAGACAGCAGAGACTTATCAAATTCATCTTCCATGTGCCCCCTCCCATTACTGGGGGAAGTTATGGTGTTTGAGCAAGTATTTAAAGAGAAAGTATTTTAGGGAATATATTCTGAATTGAAGCATCCAAATGAATTGTTTCTCCCCCACTAGTCCTCTTGCTCTACTTTGATTTTCTTCTTCTTCTTCTTTTTCTCTGTACTCTGCAAAACAAAGGAAATATTTCTATGAACATACGATACCAGAACACCAACAGGAACAGCTAGATAACTTAGGACTTGGATAGTGCTGCTCATACTCACAAAGTGGTTTACAAATGTTAAACTGTCGTTAGGGGCCCACAAACTCATTCATTTCCTGCCCTAGTCTCTTAAAGAAAAGGATGCTCACAGGACTGCAGGAACCCATAATTACCTCCAATGCAAAGCAGAGCAAGCTGAAGCCTGCAAACATGGAGCTCAGCCACAGAACAGACTAATTTCTAAGGACTTCACAAAGCAAGACATCCTTTTATATCCATATGGAAGAAGTCATCAGCAATAGGGGTCTGCAATTGAGATTCTTCTACAGATTTCAGCATTTAGTGGAACCAAAGCTCATTTGTGTAAAAAAAAAAAAAAAAAAAAAAAAATCAAGGGAATGTCCACACTACTTTCTAAACAGTGCTAATTCCACCACTAGCACAGAACAGGATAACTATTACATGTTATCTGAGGAGTAACATTTATCAAAGGTTCTCAAACTTTTTGGCCCACAGCACGGTTGAAAAATCATCCCTTAACTCGCCATAGCCTCCCAATGTACTGTGGCCACAACATTGTGGGCTTGGGGTCACAGAGAGAAAGACTGGAAGCTTCTGGGTGGTGGGGTCTTATAGAAGTGCTACAGAGTGGAACAGTGGGTGGGTGGTGATGTGGCCTGAAGGAGCTGCTGTTAGCAATGCTTTTTCCTCCCCTCCCTGGCAATCAAGGATTGGAGAGTTCCATTTTGAGGGGCTGCAGGGCCAGCTTTACAGCCTCCTTGAAATGCTACTACCCCTCCCCTGGAGCTAAGCACTGTGCAGGCAGGGAAGTGGCCTGAGAATTAGGTGGGAAGGGCAAAGAGTGAGGTGCTCCCTCCCTCCTTAAGCATCCACTGTGTTCTAGTGACCCCAGCTTTTAGTACTCAGCCAGAGGGGCGCAACCCAACTGGCATTCCCTCCATTTCTGGGTTGCACTCCACAGGTTTACAGTATGGTTTCGCTGGCACAGGTCTCAAAAAAATCCTTGTCCAACTTTACGGGAGAAACTGTAGTGAGTCACCACTGCTGGTAGCTCACAATTGTAGCTAGCATGGTTTAAGACCCCTGGTGGCCCAAAACAGAACACATTTAAAGAATGTGGCATTCATTCAGTGCTTAGTTGTTTGGCAGCCACTCTGTATTGCCCTTTAGGAGATCTTTTGGCTCACTGCAGCAGCCCAGCTGGTGCAGCGAAACGGGATGGTGCAGCCCCAGTGTCGCACAGAAATCTTTCTGAGCTATTAAGGGACGTTGCTGAGTGAAGACCACTGAGCGGATTGAAGGACACCCTGTCCAGTCTTTAGATAGAGTAGTGGCCATTAAGCTGAACTGGAAGGGTAGAAGTATAAAGTTAGAGATCGCATTTCAAAATATGAGGGTAAGAGAATAGGAAATAGTGGACTTGGAGACAGTCATGAATTTCCCATGACCCTAATTTGTAAGCTGATCCATCTCATATCCTTCAGTATTGAATATTACAAAATAAAAGGGCTGAAGAGAATATAAAACAATAGTCCCCATACACTGAGCTATACAGACATGGGTATTTTTCTCCCCCTCACTGTTTCGGAAAGAAAATATCCTTGCAGATTTCAACGCAACGGATTATTTAGAATGATTCCCATCTCACCTCCACCGCTGTGCTAGTGGACGGCTCTTCAGCCGAAGCTGCCTCTTCCTCAGCTCTCTGTTTTTTTTCCTTTTTCTTTTTCTTCTTTTTGACCGGTTCACCTTCCTCTACATCTGCCTCTTCTGTATCACAGAAAAGCAAAACATCAGGCTGTCAGTTGTCAAAAGTATTTAAGGCAGAATGAAAGCCGTAGCTGCACTGTATGTGTTTCATGAGAGGATGAAGCTGTGCGTGTTGCAGTGCATTCAGGAGTCCTTCATGCAGTTTTACCTCTCCACACCACCTCTCTTTTCTCCCACTCCACTGTATCTCCCTTTTTCACATGCCTACTGCCCGCTGGTATCAGGGCTCACAATTCTGCTTAAGACTCAAAATTTCATCAAACAGATCTGAGCACACAGCTACCTACGATTAATTTTCAGTTCTGTCTTCCAACAGAATGAATGGGCAAGCACAGTATCATCTACTATTAATTTATCACACACACACACACACACACACCATTTAGCTTTAGGAACCTTCAGATAGAGAAATCAAGCATAAAGCACTACTGATCTGACAGCTTATGCAGCAGAGTCACACTACCACTAAAGCCCCACCTCATTAAATTTCTTTGCTTAACTGAGTCAGTCTTGGATACCACGGTCTTTAGCACGCAATGCTTTGTAATGCGTAAACTCATGATGTAGCAACAATACTTCAGTTTCTACCTAACTGGGATGCTGTCAGCAGCATTTGTGGCACGTAGTCATGACTCAAAAGAGGAAACAATTAGTACACCACTTCCAAAAATCAGAACATATTCAATATTTAAAGTGAAAAGGTGAATCAAACACCACAAAAAAGTAAAGAAACATCTGAGACAAAATAAACTAAACAGAGCTGGACTTTCCCTTAAACTTACAAAAATGTAGCAGCAGAGTTAACTCTTTCAGACCAACAGAAGAGTAATATGATACAAAGAACGTTTTAACATTTGCCTCAAGCGCAAACATAAGATACAAAATTGACTCCAGTGTATAAAATGCCTGATTACATTGTGACAGATTTATGTTACTAATTTGCCTGGGGCTTTAGGTGATTAGGCTGAGGCCGCAGGATTTTTAGGGGAGAAGATGAAGAAGCACACCAAGTGACTAAGTTTAAAGCTTTATTAACCAAATAACAGCGGTGAGTGCTGGATGCACCCCATGTTACTTTGAGGAAGGAAGAAAGCGTTAGTGCTCGAGCCCTAACCCACTTTTATACTTACACATGCACAACCCAAGGCTGGCCAAGCCTGGGTGTAACGTAAGAAGAAGAGGGGGAAGGGTAGACAAGAGTTTTGCCCTGTGCACAGGTTGTTTAGGGTTTGCTGTAAATTTTTGACTTGCTTTAGTTTTTGGGAGGGTTTTAAGCCCTGGGTTTTTTGGGGGGCATTTTTGTTTAGGGACCCTTGTTTTTTGTGCACTTTGTATTAGTTTGAACTGGCCTTTTACAGCTTTTTTAGTTTTTTTTTTTAAAACATATTGGCTTTAGGGTTGAAAGGCTGTTTTTTAATTTACTGGCCTTTGCAATTTTTTTAGTTTTGCAATCTTGTTAGGTTTGTTTGGCTTAGTTTTTTTTTTTTTTATATATAGGCTTTTGGCTGTTTGGCAGGCAGCAGAGAGCTGGTTTATGTGCATTGGCCTTGGGCTGCAGTTTTGTTTTTTATTTTTGAGCCTAGCTGGATTGTTGAGTTAACCCTTTCCCTCCCTCCCCCCTTGGCCTTTTGCAACCTGCAAATTGCAACCAGCAAAATAGAGCAATACATGCAGTTTACCAACAAAAAATGCTCAAACCCTCATTAGAAGAGGATTCCAGATGAAAGGCCTGGTGTGTACAATAATAAACTGATTCCACAACAGATTTGCAGGCCAACATGCAACTAGTGTGTGCATATAATAGAACCTCCTACACAAATTGATAATATATATGTAAAGAGAAGTAACAACATACAAATAATTGTACTCATACATTTATCTTGCTATACGTTATTTTGAGTCACATTTGCTGTAAGTTTTCACTCTGTTGGGATACTGAGCAATGTGCTGTGTGGTTACCTTTGGAAAATAACCTATGTTATTACTGTGTCATCTGCTTTGAAACACCAACCAAGGGAACTGTCACAAATTTCAATGCAAAATTATGTATTTTGTATTCACAGGTCTTGTAATTTCTCACAGCAAGCAGCAGGATGCCTTAATAAAGACTTAAATTGCTAGTTTCCAACAGAGCTCATCACAAGATTTCACATGTTCGAACCTGGACAGAATGAGGATAACAGCTCCAGGGAGGCTGTTCTTTCCCTCCAGACCTGGCACTGGCAAGTCACTCAGCCCAGTAGGGTTTCTTTGCAATACAGCAGTTGACAAGAGAGGCAAGAGCCTTTGTCAGCAGGCTCTGAACCAGACTGAACAGCACCCAGAACAGCTTAGCTTGACTGATGTACGTACCAGTACCTATACAGTGTAGGGATCAGTACCCTGGGTTCCACCATGAGTGTTTTACCATACAAAAATTTTTAATGCATTTTTACATACCAATCACTTTGTATACACATCATACTCCACCCTACAGATGACAGGTCAAATAGCATATGATTAAAATGTGCCCTGATAGGGTAGCCCCCATCACTTGAGCCTGCCCTGCAGGGTTAACACCATTAATTTATTTTAAAAAGATACTTCCCCTTCTTGCAGTACAGGAGTTTTAGTGACAAGCCATAGCTGCACATTACGACCTTTAATGTTAGCTGAATGTTTTACTGGTGGTACTGGTTAGCACTATTAGTGGTAATGTTAGAAGACTAAAACCTCAAGTCATTCTGTCTAATTGATTCATACCGGGTTTCCCACACCCCACTGAAATAGTGGTGTTCAAGGGACAGTGTCAACTTATTTTCTAGATAGTTTAAAAAAAGTTAAGTGATTTCAGATACTCTCCCTGCCAATTTTTGAAGGGGTTCCAAACCCTTTGTGTTTAAAAAGCATGTGCACGCCCCTTGTTGCTGTTTGAAAGATCCACGCAAATAGGGAAACACTGAAAGCGACGTCCAAAGTGCTACCAAATGCTCAGAGGAGACAGAAAATAAATTCTCTTATTTTTGTTACAGTAACATCAGACAAACATGATTTTTAAGTTGGTGTCCCTTTCAGGTTGTAATGCTAAGTTAAAAAAAACCACACCTCATTAGAGCACTGCAGTTTTAAAAAAAGTTAAAGCCAAGGAACCTAACACATTTGGGGTTTAGGTGTCTAAGTATAGAAATGCAGAGTTAAGGCTCTATAAACAGTCCTAGCCTGCCATGCAATGCACTCCTTATGCCACTTAGAACTACCTGCCAAACTTCTCAAGCTACCACTGCCACAACACACGATGGACATGTCAGATCTTCTGTCATCTACCTGAAAACAGTGAGGTCATGATCTGTCCCTGTGTCGGAGAATACCACACAGGTTGGTGGATGGCCAGTCCACGGGATGGGGAGGGCGTAAGGGGGATAGCTGATTAAATGTGGGTGGAAAGTAGTAAGAGGTACATCGGGATTGAGAGTAGACTGGTGCTGTGCTAAGTCAAGTTCTATTTTGCAGCGGTATACAAAGGATAAACAGACGTTTGGATGTGAGCAGAATGGTGGCTGGGAAAAGTGTTTGTGAACTACGTAGATACAACAGTAATGTGTGAACCTTGTGAGGTTGTGATTTTAAAGGGTATAAGAGGACAACGAGAAAGGATATGTCTGCACATGGATGGTAAGAGATAAATAAGCTCTTCAGATCTGCCTAACTCAGTGTGTACAGCCCCTAGCACAATAGCACCTCAGTCATGATTGGGACATATGGACACTAATAAGCATAGTACAGCTGGCTTAAAAAGAATTAGAGTTGGGAGAAAGGTCTGGATGGGCAGGGTGCACAAATGTAAAGGGGAAATTTTGTAAACAGCGCAAAGCACATATGTTACTAATACTGGCCATGAAGTAAGATGTACAGCTGTGTGTTTTGGTGGAGGATGAAAGACACCATGAAGGTGGTTTATGGTACCTCAACATGGCATTCCTAAAACTCAAATTCTCACTTCTAACTTCACTTAGGAGTTTGCAGCTCTTCAGTGTTTTCTGGTTTTTGTTTTTTTTTTTTAAGAGTAAATTTTAATGTTTTTTCCTCAACTATTTACACCCTTAATTATAATTTAAGAAAGTTTGTTTGCAGATGATAGCAGCTAGTTAGATTTTTAAGATGTGTGTCTCACCAATGCACCTCTTTATCGGAAAGACAGGACCATGGCTCAGCTCTGGACTCTCCAACAAAACCAGGACATCTGACAAAGTTTAACATATGCGCAACGTAACTTTGCCAATCCACTGAACCACGCTGAAGTTTGCCCACTACATATGATATTGGTGGCTCCGATTTTCCAAGCTCTCGCCAAAATTAAGCTTTATATATCCCCAAAATGTTAAGAGGCATCAGTGCTCAGTAAGGCCAAATGAATCAAGAGATATGATTGGTAGGCAAAGGTATTTGTGGTATAACCCATTAGAAGACATGCTCATGAGTAAAAAAAAAAAAGTTAAACTAATCTTTAAGGACTATACCTGACTAATATGGAATTGGCTGTAGATTTTCTCCTTCTAGGACAGGGGTTCTCAAACAGGGGGTCGGGACCCCTCAGGGGGTCACAAGATTATTACATGGGGGGGTCGGGAGCTGTCAGCCTCCACCCCAAACCCCACTTTGCCTCCAGCATTTATAATGGCGTTAAGTATATAAAACAATGTTTTTAATTTATGGGAGGGGGGGGTCGCACTCAAAGGCTTGCTATGTGAATGGGGTCACCAGTACAAACGTTGTAAGAACCACTGTGCTAGGAGAATTCTTGAGAGAAGTGTCAGCAAGGCACTATGTTCTGGGGCAGTTTTGGGGTAGGGACATAAGTATGAGTGTTTCACATCTAGGTTTATAATGGAAAGTTAGTCTATGGAAACAATTCTGTGCTTATAATAAAGGGTTAATTTAGTGCTGACAACACATTCAGAAGGGTCTCAGAAGAGGTAGTGACTAAAAATGTCCACATACTCCAAAAGGAATTAGGCAAAGAACATTAAAATCATCACAGACCACTCCCATGTGTCCTTGTTTCATTACCGTATTAAATATCACAGCAAAAGTCATTATGTGGACCTTTTCCCCAACACTACAGAAAGATACATCTGTACCATGGGAGAGGGTAGCCCCAATCCTCAGCTAAGTTACAGAGCCCGTGAGCCACTCCACCAGTGCAAGATGCCATAAAGCCAGCCCCCAGGAAAATCACCTTGGCATTAGGGGACCTGAGAATGATGCAGAGCCAGCACAACTGCGCTGAAATCACCCTCACTGTCCAATGTTGGTGCATGGAGAATGGTGGCTGTAGAGGGGGGTTGTGGATTAGGCATCCCTGTAGTGGCCCTGGCTGCTCTTACAGCCTTTGACAGCCATTGTTTACTCCTGGGGGAATGCTGCGCCACTGCTCAATGCAGAATTTTGCAGAAATTAATGTTGTGCGCACAGAATTTCCCTTTTCCCCCTACAGAAATGGGCTGCAGAGATGTTGGCTGCCACTAGGGATCACTGGACCAGCATAGCCCAGCTTGGAAATAGAAGACAAGACCGGTGTGAAGGGGAAGGAACTGGAGGGTTCCCAGCAGCTGCAGTTCCCAGCATGCCCTGAAGGAAGGAGGCGGCAGCATGCAAGAAACTCTGTACAAGCCTGGGACCCAGCATCAGGCGGTTTCTCCCTCAGGATCCCTGGGCTCTGGAGAGTAGAGGGCCAGGAGACCCCCCAGCTGGCCTCTAGGGGGTAGAGGGTGTGAGTGTCTGGGGTGGGGTGGGGTGCGGCTGTAGTGAAGGTGTACGAGTTTCAGGGCGGGGGGGGAAGGCTGCAGCTGGTCTCAGAGGGATGGGAGGGGGTGGTGAGTGTCTGGGCCAGGGAGGGCCCCACAGCTGGGCTCTGGGGGGTTGGGAGGGAGTGTCTGGCTCCCCTGGCTGGGCTCTAGGGAGGAGGGAGCAGGGAAGCAGGAACTGGGTTGTCATAGGAGTTTCTTTAACTCCCTACTCCGGGGGGAATTTTTCTATGTCTCTGTGTTGTTACAGACATACTTGCTGACAGGAATTTTGAAATAAATTACCAAAATAATTGAAACTGTGTGGTTATATAGTGTTATTTTGACACACAATTTGCAGAATTTTAAAATATTGTGTGCAAAATTTGTAATTTTTTGGCACAGAATTCCCCAGGAGTAAATTATTGTGATTTAGATCATTGCAGCCGACATAACCTGGAGCAGCTCACAGCCAACTCTGGCTCAGGGAAACTCAAAAACAGCATCTCTGTGCTCCTCTACCAGAGCAAGTATCAGGGTAGCTATTTTGAGGTTTTGGAGGTGAGGAAGAAGTAGCTTTTTAGCATAGCTGCCTAGGCAATTTGCAAAGCAACTCTCAATACAAAAACTAACGATTCCGAAATTACAATCCAAGATCTTTCACAAGGTAACTCAGAGCTGGTAGCTAGTCTATCAAGGTCTATCACTCTAGAATGGAGTGGTTATTTTTAACACACATACAAATAAACTCCTATTATCTGAAATTCAGATTGTGAAATTCTAAATTGACATTTATCCTGAAATTCTGATCCTCCCCAATTTTGGATATGACCCAAACTATTTGGATAATAGGGGTTTATCCATACTCATAGTAAATGGAATAAACAAGTTAGCACAATGCCAAATTTTTAAATGCGAGAGCCATTTCTTTTCATGATACCAAACAATGTCAGTTAAGGATTAATCTACTCCGCAAGTAATTCTGTAATAGACATTTGAGGCTGCTATTTTTTTTTTTTTTTTAATAAAACCTCTTCTATGTTATGCTTAGAGCACCACTGGCCTTTTAGAAATATATATAAAACAAATGCAGTCCAGTTTCAGCCAACAAGATTAAAAAAAACCATGTCAAACTCATGGAAAACAGTTGCGTATTCTGAAAGGCCACCACATGCCACTCTAATTCCCTTTATACAATGCTCGCAGGAAATGATGCGTTTGAAACAAATACAGTAACCAACCTTTAATTTCTACTTTGATCTTCTTTCCTTTCACTGTAACCTCCATCTCCTCTTCTTCCACCTCTTCAATTTTACGTTTTTTTGGAACAGCAGGGAGTGTAGAGTCACCAGAAGGGTCATATACCTTCACTTCACTGGAATGAAGAAAACTGAGTAAGTTAAGTTGCAAACTTGCAAGGGAAGAAACAGCACTGTAAATAAGATACAGTGGTGAAATGCTCACTTTCAATTCTCTACCAACATCTCCTCACTGTATGATTTTCAATGGAGACAGCACAGCTAATGGGAAGTGAAGGATCATTGGTGGCCTGGTTTCCATTTACCGAGAAACAAACGAACACAGGAGCTGTATTCCACATAGTACAATTGAGAAACAAGTAGTATCTTGTACTGGACCAACTTCTGTTGGCGAGAGAGACAAGTGTTTTGAGTGACACAGAAGAAGAGCACTGTGTAGCTCAAAGTGGGTCTCTTTCGCCAACAGAAGTTGGTCCAGTAAAAGATATCCTAGCACCAACCAGGCTATAACTCCACTAAAAACAGAGTACAACTATCACATCTGCACAGAAAAGCCAGTTCAGGTGTTGAATTTTACTTTTTATTATAAGGGTCATTGTAATCAAGATTTCAATTCTATTATAGTTTGAGACCACGTCATCCATTATGTTGCTCTCTCCACAGCTGAGCCTGAAGAATTGTTTCCTTCAAGAGGGTGTGGCCAGGTGCACAAGCATAACATAAGAACGGCCATATTGGGTCAGACCAATAGTCAATCTAGCCCAGTATCCTGTCTTCCGACTGTGGCTAATGCCAGATGCTGCAGAGTAAGTGAACAGAACAGGGCAATTATCAAGTGATCCGTCCGCTGTTGTCCACTCCAAGCTTCTAGCATTCAGATGCTTAGGGACATCCAGAGCATGGGGTTGCATCCCTGACCATCTTGGCTAACAGCCAATTCTTTTTTGATCCCAGTTATAGTTTGGCCTTCACAAAATCCTCTGGGAATGAGTTCCACAGGTTGACTGTGTGTTGTGTGAATTAGTACTTCCTTTTGTTTTAAACCTGCTGTGTATTAATTGCATTGGGTAACCCCTGAGTCTTGTTGTATGTGAAGGGGTAAATAATGCTTCTTATTCACTTTCTCGACACCATTCAGGATTTTAGAGACCTCTCTCATATACACCCCTCTCTTAGAAAAGTCGTCCCTTTTCTAAGATGAACAGTCCCAGTCTTTTTAATATCTCCTCATATGGAGGCTGTTCCATACCAGTAATAATTTGTTGTTCTTCTCTGTAACTTTTCCAATTCTAATGCATCTTTTTTGAGATGGGACGATATGGCAGGGTGTACTTGCCCTTCGCTGGAGTGGAAGGGGTAGCACTCTAGCAGCAGAAGCCACGCCCTCTTAACCCTGCTGGGCGTGCTCCAGCTGCTGTATAAAAAGGGAGCAGCCTAGCTCAGTCTGGGTTGACCAAGGAGGAAGGATGCACCACGTCAGCTCCAGCTGAGGAGCAGCCAGGATCCCGGACAGTGGGAGCAGGAAATGCCAAGGCCCAGGCAGGTGCCCAGGGACCTGAGGATGTCCCAGGGAGATTGCAGTCACCACCCAAGGAGCCCAGAGACGAGGACACTGTGACTTCAACTGCAGGAGTCACGGTAGGTAGTAGCCCAGAGAGGGACTAGCCAGTGTCTCTGCAGCAGTTGGCATGTTGCAGACAGATTCCCTGCCGGCTTAATGGCAAACCCCTTCGCCATTACCAGGGCCCTGAGCTGGGACTCGGTGTAGTAGGGAGGGCCTGCATGCCCCTACCCCAGCTGCCCTAGTTGGGGGGCAGCCCACCAAACCCCTGCCTACTGACTGGCCATTAGGCCACGCTTCCCTACAGGTAAGGTGTGTTTAACTGGCTCTATCTATTAGGCTGCACTGCCCTGCAGACAAGGGGAGTCCCATTGATGCTGGCCATCAGTCCATGCAGCCCAGAAGCCGAAGGCAGCCATACTGAGTTAACTGCGGGGCTACCATGCCCTTGTCCCACCCCCAGGGTGACGGGGTGTACTTGCCCTGCAAAAGACTACCACAACTGCACGCTGTATTCAAGGTGTGGGGTACCATGGATTTATATAGTGGCATTATATTTACTGTCTTATTATCCATTCCTTTCCTAATGGTTCTTAACACTTAGCTTTTTTGACTGCTGCTACACACATTGAGCAAATGTTTTCAGAGAACTATTCACAATGACTCCAAGATATCTTTCGGGAATGGTAACAGTTAGTGTAGACCCATCTTTTTGTACATATAGCCGGGATTATGTTTTCAAATGTGAATTAAGTCTGTAGACCAGGCACTGAGACGCGCTGCTGCAAGTTTTAAAATGCAGTATAGATATTCCCTGCAATTCAGAAAGTCTACTCAACAGCATGCACAAGCCAGATTTTTTAAAGGCACAAGAGGCAGTTAGATATCTAATTCTGATTTTTGTCTTGGGAATTCTGCTCTCAAGTGTCTTAGGGTATGTCTACATTGCATTTTCAAAGCAGAGAGTCTCAGAGCCTGGGTCTACAGACTTAGGCTCATGCTATAGTGCTAAAAACAGCTGTGCAGACGTTTGGGCTTGGGCTGGAGCTCAGCCACTGAAACGCAAGGAGAGGGTGTGTTTCGGAGCCCAAGCTGCAACGTGTAAACTGCTGTTTTTATCACAGCACATGCCCAAGTCTGTAGACCCAGGTTCTGAGACTTGCTGCCACAAGTTTTAAAAATGCAGTGTAGACATACCGAGACTCCTCCTTTGTTCAATTCCAGCATCTTCTGAAACCTTCCCAGCTCTAGCCACCCTCATTAGCATGCCCCCACCTCAGCACTCTGCTCACTCCTCTATTCATACTTCCTTCAATATCGCAACATCTGTTCCAGGCCCTGGGGCAGTTAAAAGCTTGTCCCATCCAATGACAGCTACTTGCTAAGGCACGGTTCTCTGGCATCAGTTAAGAATAGTATTTCTACTGAAGCAAAGGAGTTTTAAATATAGATCCTACTAACAATCAGAATATTTTATGGGTATGCATATACTGCTTCAGTAGTGGTGACAGGAGGAGAGCACCACCATAGTAATCCTCCTTTTGGTCATCACTAAAATACTACTGATGATCAAAGCTGCTACTTTCCTACCAGAAGTGGCCATCTTGTTGAAAACTCAGAAATATTGACTTCTACAGTTTATTTGTGGTAAAATGTACATCTCACCTTTTCTATTCCTGACTGCTAAACTGAGCCACACAGATTGGAAATTATCTTTAGTCCGCTCTCCTTTTAAGCCTAGAGTTCCATTTGTTAGTGCTGAAATGTTCTGCACACATGTGCAGCCAGGAAGTCAGGACTCCCCAAGTCAACAGGCTGAGGATATACAAGTATCAGACCATCTTCCTACTCTCCACCCTAAAAGCCACTGATGCTCCACCTGCTGCCACTTCAAAGCTTTTCTATACATAAAACCCCGCCATAAATCACATCATGAAACCAATCTACATCACTGAACGTTTTGAAGATTTCTCCTGGGAGTTTTGTGCCTGGCATTTTCTAGAATGAAATTGTCAAAGGAAGTTTCTAGTGTGGCTTTCAAACGTGTTATGGGGGGAAAAAAGCTTACCTAAACCCTGTATTTCTAAAATTTTAAATAATTCTGACTAGCATGAAATAAAACAGCTAGTCATTGATCCTAATAATACCCAATGTTCTCTCAGAGGATGTCTCAGCAACCCATTCTCAGAAAGTTAGGGCAGTTACCCTAATCCACCTGTTTTACTCTGCCACAATTGTGTTAAATGAAAGAAAAGTAGATGGTACTTAGTAATGGGCATGTTGCCAGTATTGCATGAAAAATGTTTCCTGGAACTGAAGTCAACAGAGATCAAAACCCAAGTCTCAGGGTAATAAAAATAAAGTTATACAGTGCCAAGCTGAACAGAAAACTACCCACCTCTTGTGCTGATATTTGTCTGCCCTGGCCAAGGCCTTTCCTGTGCCACTTATTCTTCTTATCTAGGACAAAAATTTAGACGTGAAAAACAAATTACTCATAACGAAAACAGTTTAGAACAAACTCCACAGCCCTTGAAAGGAATTAAAACTGCAAAGACAGGCATGCAATGCCTGGCAAAAAAGACACATGCTCTTAGCTGCCAGAGAAGTATAACTGACAACATTTACTTTTTGGGGCAAACTCGTGAGAGGGGTCTTAATTTGGATTTAGAAACGTAGGTGTCAAGTGCACTGTATTTCTAACCCGTTTAAGGTTCCCTTTTTGTAATTTACAAGAAATGTCAATACTGAAGCTTGTGTAGTAGAATGTCTAAGCTTTAAAGGCTGCAGCCACTGGAGCTAAACAGGACCACGTACTTGGAGCAGGGTGGATACTCCACCCAGAAGAGGGCAATGATACCGACACAAGTGCAACATATTACGTAGACAGATGCAATACTGGTATGGGGAAGCAGGTGCTTAGTACTTGGCGATGGGAGAAGAATGGAGCACTTTGCATCCTCTTTGGCTGACAATGGCTCTCTGTTTACTGGCTCCAGAGGGTGCTCTTGTGGACTACAGGTATCGTTGACCAAAGTGGGCAATATTAGAAGGGAAGAATCCTTAAAGCTCCAGGGAGCTTACTTCCCAGACACAGAAATGCCACAAAATATCAAGCAACCACAGCATCTATGTCAGTGGAACATATGTCTGCATCTCACTCATGCTCCCAATCAGAACTGAGGTTTCACATTGACATCTAAATGTAGATATGGAATGAGGGAAAGCTAATGCAAGTGGTGGCCTAGGAATGCGGGGATGGGCTCACCCTGAAGTCCCCCACTTTCTGTCCCAGTCTAGGCCAGGGAAAAGTATGGCAAGGGAAAGTACCACAATCTTATGCAGGGAAGAGGAGTTGGGAGAAGTGCATTCTCAGAACCACACCCCTCACATAAAAGAAACAAAATGAAAGTCTCCTCTCTCCTGGATAGCTTCAATTATCTTTTCAACACTGCATCCCAGGCTCACCCCTTTCTCTTCCAAGTGTCTCAGTCTAGTCTCTACTTTTAATCTGTTCTCAGCTCCCATTTCAGCACTGGAGTCTTCTCCAAGGGCATCATAACGAATAGTCAATGCAGTTTTGGCTGCTAGCATTCGAGAGATCTGGAAAAAGAGGTGAGTGTTAAATGCTAAGATGGGACACAAGGTAGTGATTCACTATGTACTCAGATCTGCAAATCATCTCAAGAAATAAGAGAATGAAATGACCCTTAGTAGTAGCACTTAGCCCTGAAAATAAGTAGTACATCCCATTCAGCCACTTCAGTGTTAAGATTTTTTGATATGGTAACTTTACTTCACCATCCACCCTTCTCACATCAGGCCAACTTGACATATACACTGGAAGCAATCTGCCTTTAAAAACCGATTGAAGAACTTTTTCCTCAATGTGAACACACGTTCAAAGTCATGTTACAAAAAACACCTTTAAAATTCCTCATATCCTTTAAATATAAGCTGTTTGTTCCAATATGGAGTAGAAGCCTATGATGTCAAGGATTTCCTCCTCTGAAATTGAGGAAGCCTAATGTTATCTTCGTGTATTTTACTAACAGCAAAGAAATTTAACGCGTCTTAAGAAAGTTTGATACCCAGTGCTAATCACATAATCCAGCAGGATTTTGTCACTCAAGTTATCACTCAGACTTTTGCATTGACAACTCTATTCCCTTTTTCTAATAGGAAAAAAAGTGACAGCTGACTGCAAGATCTGTGGTGCGGTGGCATTCTGCACACCATCACAAAAGAAAGTAGTATAGCAAGCAGTGGAAAAATCCCTATCAGGACTCTTAAAGTTATCCATCTAATCTCCACAGACATTCACCTGTACCGGAAAAAGCTAATTAGCAAGATAAATCATTTCAGCAACTCACCTTTCCTTTGTTTTTTGTAGAAGTTTGTCCCACCAGGGAAGCATGATAAATCAGGCCAAACTTGGGTGTGTCCCGTTTAGTCTTCAGGGCTCTAAAAAGTGCTTTTTCAGCACCCAAAATCTGAACAGTGGAAGCTGGGTGTTTAGCCAGATTCAAAAGGGAACCTAGGGCAGAAAAAGTCACAGCATTATCAGTTTAATCAGAATATGAACAGCCTAAGGGTATGCTATGCTTAAATAAAATACCAGTGGCTGGCCTGGGTAGGCTAACTTGGGCTGCTGGGCTATACAAATGCAGTACAGATGTTCAGGCTCGGGCTGGAACCTGGGCTCTGAAACCCCGTGGGACCCAGCACCCTGGCTCCAGCCGAGCCCAAACATCTACACTGCAATTTTATAGCCCCGCAGCCTGACCCCCACAAACTCAAGTCAGCTGACCCAGGCCAGCCACTGGTATTTTATTGCCGTGTGGACATACCTTTACAAGTCTGAGACCGATACTAGGAAATGAGTGAAGGTAGGAGACAAGTTTCAAGCTTTGATGGTGGAGGATTTATAAGATGATTTACCTTAGTTTCGAGGGGGAGGGGAAGTGGTGTTGATCCTCTACTACTTAAGTAACAATGCTTAAGACCAATTCTGTATCTCCAGGTTTCATTTGGAAAGGAGGTGGGAAGACTGACTTGACACAAAACATCCCACTGGATTAATGGGTAGTGCTGACTGCACTCTGCAGTAAGAATGCTGACAGCACAATCTGTAGCTGGCACTACACTTTGAGAAGGTGAAATAAACCTAACACTTTTCAAGTCAGTCTGACATCAACTTAAGCCCAACCTCCTAACAGATTAACTCAGATGTGACCAAACTGTTGGCAACAGGCTCAGAAAACGTCTCAGAAGAGGTAGTGACTTAAGTTGCCCTCATATTCTGAAAAGAAGTCAGGCAAACTGAAAAATGAATCATCATCGACTACTTCTGTGCTCATGCCAATATTCTGACATCACACTAGGTTCTTCTGGCTTTCAGCAAAATGTTTTACGTCAAGAGCTTAGCACAATTCTTTCAACTGACCAGGTCATTAGGGAAAGCTGTTGATGGACTGATCTTGTGAAGCCAGTTCACATCTAACTTGCTATATACTGATCAAAGTGACCTACCTGCATGAGCAATAAGCCTCGCTCCAACTAATTCCCCGACCATAACAGTGAGGTTAGGTGCAATGGCCATCATTCTGTTCTTGAGATAGTCATACAGCTGCGTTCGATACTCTGAGATCTCAATCACCTGGCACAGACAGAGCGGAAGATCAGGTTAAAGCAATCTAACAGCTAACAACCAACTGTAAAAGCGTTAATGTGTGTGTCAAGCACCAAGGATTGCAGTCAGGAGGCTGTTAGTGAATTTGTAATTGTATTACTGAATTATAATTGTATAATTCAAATTTATGATGTGAGTGAGTTATAGCAGACTGAAATGTAACAGGGTGTGAAATCCTAACAGCCATAAGTGAGGTTTACCTGAAAGCTTTATATGGGCAGCTTCATAGCAGATCCATAAGAATACAATGCATAGGATTTGTATTTCTCTTCACTATGCTACTACTAGCAGTAAAACCCCAATATGCCAAGTACAGTGAAGGACAATTACTGAGGCTATTTTCTGTAATACAAAACCTGGAACATTCCGTTTTAACACAAATATCTGTAACCATTCTCTTAAGATGGGATATTCTTTACTTCAAAGACTGTTAGACACAAAAAATTAAAGTGTATCAATGGGCAGTCAGCGTGATGCAGCAGACTGAGTTTGGGATTAAGAGCCAGGAACTCTCTACTGCTCATCCTACCACTGTCACTGACTGTGTTGGCTTGGGTACGTAACAAATAGCCTGACTCTGCACCACTGAAATGGGAGTTTTATCTTTTACGAGAATGGGAGCAAGATTAACCCTCTTGGCCTCAGTTTTCCATCTACAAAATGGGGCTAGCACTACACTTTTATAAAGCATTTTGAAACGGAGATGAAAGGGGCTATATAAACGTAGAATTTACATAGCATACTTCTTTCTAAGGATCTCCAAGCACTTTTTAATTAATATATGTTAGCCTTCCTCTCACAATCATACCCAATAACCTCCGTCTCCTCTCCATGTCAGCAATCCAAGATGGCATCAGATGAGGTAGTGACTGTGCGCCCTCATGTTTGTACATCAGGCGAGCAACAATACAGGAATCATCACGGCCATTAAGAAAGTGTGCTGGAGCAACCATAGGAAAACAGCTGTCTGCAGAAGAAGCAGCCCACATTGCTACACATCTTAAATTAAAGCTCTAAATGTATATATACCTGGTCACAGAGATGCAGTATATTGTTTATGTCTTCTTCTGATACTTCTGTTCCCATGGAGATTTCTGCAGCAGCCTTCACATCCTCATCAATCTCCTCTGGCAGGACTTCCGAGAGGTCGGAGGTAGAAAAGTTTCTTCTGTCTCCTGCGGGACAAGATTGAAGGTGGGGAGAAAAGGAGAAAGAAGATCAAGTAAATCAAAAACAGAGAGAGTATAAAGAGGTAAGAGCCAACTGTGTCAACATGGAAACACCTACCCATTAGGGAGGAATAATCAATTGCACAAATACAAAAGAGAAAATGACTGCCTAGGAAAAAGTACTGCAGAAAAGGATCTAGTGGATCACAAACAAAACATGAGACAACCACGTAATACTATTGCTAAAAAGCAAGCATCATTCTTAGATGTATTAGAAGGAGTGTTGTAAGCAAGGCAGGAGAAGTAATTCTTCCACTCTACTGATAAGGCCTCAACTGGAGTATTGTTTGTCCAGTTCTTTACTGAATTATGGACAAGATGTGGACAAATTGGAGAAAGCCCAGAAGAGAGCAACAAAAATTAAAGAAAACATGACCTACAAGTAACAATTAAGTTCCTCTCTGAACTGCAAAGCTACCACATCACTGTACAAATCAACAGGGAAAAAAACATGCCTAGATGTTGAAATGCAGATGTCCACAAGATTAAACCTATTGTTACTTCTGTTCCAAGGAGTAAATATAAGCCAGCTGTGGTCTCAGGGAACACCAAAAAACACTAAATGTTTCTCTCTATATATATCAGTTTTAAGCAATAATTCCCAAACTGTGGTCTGTGGACTAACGGTGGTCTACAGAGCACTTCCTAGTGGTCCTGGGAGAGCTGGCCAGTGCTAGCTCTCCTTGTTTCCAACTGCTAGATTACAACAAACTATTGCCAAATTATATTACTTTCCTAACATCAATTTCCCACATAGGCATTTTCTAGAGTGTCACTGAGATGATACAGGATTGTGAACAGGTGAAATGGCCTGCACGTTAGTGAACAGCAGGAAATCTGGCCCACAATGCGCTACTGAGTTGCGATTGATACTACTAATACTCAACAGTCTCCCATGCATGCTCAAAATTGTTACTCACCAACTTTCCGCACACATTTACAGTATGTTAGGTTATCTGCGACGATTTTGCCTAGTTCAGGGAAGTGCCAGCCATACCATTCCCTACAGCGCATGATATAGTTATTCAGCTCTTTATCTAGGTCGTCAAGAAGGGCTGCAGACAGGACAGACATGTTAAAAAAAAAAGTATAGTCTAAAGGGGAACATTTTAAAGTCAGATGTAATGAACACTGCAAAGGGAAATATCAAGGTATTTTTCCACAATGTTTCCTTTGCACAAATACAAACACCAATGTACTGTGACAAGGTTGGTCGTCATTTTATTTTAAAATCATTGAAGGATTTGTTTCAGTGAAGAAATGTACTTTGCAAACAAAATAGATCAAATTACACACTACGTTAAAAGAACATTAAGGTTGCATAATCAAACATTCAAAAGTCAGGACATGCCAGAATTAAGGATGCTAATGCAACCCTGCATTTTCAGAGAGCTGTTTTATCTTCCACAGAAACAAGGCTCAGAAATTGAAAGTTACCTCTTAGTAATGCACAGTTTGATGAAAATCCTTCAAACCTGTTCCTCACTCAATGATTCCACTGTTAATTTTACTGGGCAACATACATGCTATGGATTTTCTGTAAAAAGCCACTTTGGAACAGATTTTCTGAAAGTTTAACTGGTGCTAATGTGTTTCCCATAGGTAGCTACAACCAGGAAAGGTTCAATTTAAACATCCAACACATAGGGAATTTAGGGTTATGACTAACATTCTATTCTTAACTCATCCCAATTCACCTAGGTTTTGCAGTGTTCGAGCAGTGAATAATCCCATATGAGCACAAGGATGAGTTTTGATTTTGAATTGGTTTTTTTGTTCATTTTGTCAAAACTCTGCTTTAAGCCAAACTTTTATCATCTTCACAACAACATAAAAGAGCCATTAGTTAACATGATGGTAAGGCCTGAGGTTTCATCACAGGGACCTGCCACTCAAATGATGGGCCTCTTTCACATGTCATACACTGAATGTATTGCATATGAACAGTTTCCTGCAACAGTGATGATTATAGGGAAACAAAAGCAGCAGTTTGGCTATCTGCGAGTTCCGAGTCATCCATTCCAGATGGTGGATGTGTGACTTGCTGGTGGGATTGTGTTTCAGGTGTAAATCTTAGCCCTCTAATCCATTTTTTTTCTTTAAACAGGATGCAGATGTCAAAAGCCACCCTGTCCGACTATTTGATATTTAAGTTACAGTAGCACCCTGAGGCCCAGATCAGGATTGGGGTCTTGCTGTGTGAGGCACCGTACAACCAGACGTAGATACAAACAGTGTGGAGGTGATGCAGTATGTTAAAGTTACTACACATGCATAGTAAACTAAGTATGCCTACCTCCATATGAAATCTAAGTTACAATTTGTGTTTGAATTAAAAAAAAAACCCCAAAGCCGGCCCCCCCCCCCCCCCCCCCAAAAATGCAATAATGAAAGAAACTGAAAAGATTTAGTTTCAGCCCAGAAAAATTCTTTTCAGCTGTAATTACCCTTTAAGCTTATTGAAAATATAAACATACCTAGAACTAATGCAATACGCTGTCTACTCCAGTGCTGCAGATATGAGCTATAAGCTTATTTCTATTACAGCAGGGTAGAACACCCACTGCACATACTGTTACAAAGCCCCAAGGCTACAAGCATTTTCTTGTAATGCCATAAGGACATTCCCATCTGCTGTCTCAGCAGTAGTGATGAAATTGTGAATTCAATCATTATATCCAGCTCAACAAGATTCCATCCATGACAGAGCATGGAATTTGCAGCACTGAACTATTCCATTCACCACTGCCTGAGACTGAGCAACTCCATTATAACATGCATTCTTCAAGGAAAAGGAAGGATTAGTCCAGATATTCTATTTTCCATTTGCCAAAGAAATTTTAGTTTGTTTCCCTTAAAAAAAAAGCCACGATGCAGAACGTGGTACTACCTTTTATAGTTATTTTCACGCATCTTTAAAACTGTTACTGCGTTGTGGTCTCAGTTCACTTCACACAAGCTACCACCACAAATAGCACCCACAGCAGAGGTACCAAGGACCAAATTCTTAGGGGAACAATTAACTTCTTATCACTAGTCAGGGTGAGTCACACTAGGAATTGAAGCAATGGGAAGCTTGAACTGTCACTGCATCTGCTATAGCTGTTTTCTGGATAACTAGAGGTCTTCACCTTTTAATACCACCCTCTCCGACTATTTGAGATGTAAATTACAGTATCACCTTTCATAAGCAATAGTTTTTAAAATTTCTGCTGGGTTGATTCAAACTGCCCTGTTATACTAAAACACTAGCAAAAATCTTGAAAAGGGCACACTTTAATAAGTGATAAAAGTTAGCTGCCCCCAGCAGAATATTTAAAGATGAAATCCTGAATATACTTACAGATTGCTTGGACAATCATTGTATCTACTTTGTCTGGGCTGAATTTCAGCTTGTATCGGGAGAGGCTAAAAACAAAGATATCGTTATTAGCTGCACCCCTGGCATTCCACTGCAAAAAACATATTCTCCACCTGTTTTATTTTGCATGAATGAGTCCAGCTGTAGACTCATTCACACTTGCTTAATTTAAAGCTAAGGACTGGCCTCTGCTGGATGTAATGGGAAGTTTGGAGAAGCACTGCTGCTGGTTGGTCCCATAACAACGGCAGCACACACAGTACCCAGTATGATGGGCTGAACCAAGGCACCAGAAAGGAGAAGCATGGCTGGCTGGCCGTCCCTCTGCGTAGTCTACATGAACACAGTGGCAGGAAATTTGCTGTTCATTACTTTTTGCAAATTTCTTCACAAAAACAAATAGAGCAAGTATTTCCAGTTTTGCAGTGGTTGGGATTGATCCACAGGAAACTGTGTCTATAAAGTAGTGAAACTCAGGAGTATGACTGTAGATAAACTTCCCTCGTCCTTCTAACCTCATTTTAGCACAAGCCCAACATCTATACTTTTAAAATACATTCTAGGATCTTGCATCACACATTTGGATTATGCCAAAATAAAACTCTGCATGTACATAGGGATTTGTATCTTCAAAAAGCTGCACAAACATTAATCCTCTCAATTACCCCAGCAAGGAAGGTAACAATCTCCATTTTAGAAGAGTAAACGAGAAAGGTTCAGCAACTTGCCCAAGGCCATGCAGTGAATTTCTCTCAGAGTCTGGATTGAAACTCAAGTTTCTAGCACCTAATTGTGTACTTGTCAGGGCTGTGTGCAGAGCTACTGCTCTGCTTAAATCTACAGTCAAGAACTCTGCCTTTATTTAATGTTTATATTATGTACCACTGTGATATGTACATGGAGATATAAATTATATATCCATGAAACACTGAGTCCAACATTTACATTAAGCACTGAAGTATCAGATACCTCAGTGGTGATGAATTAATGTAAAATTCATTTTCATACTGCCAATGACTGCATTTTAAAGATACTATTCAATTACGTACATAATATACAAGAAAAAACTACTCAACTCAGGTTAACGCTACAGCAAATATTGAGAGGTCTGACTTGAACCTGTGGTGCTAAACACAGTGCACCTTGTAAGAGCTTGCTTCTAGAGCAAGATTGACCAAAATTAATGTGCTTAGACTTTGGGCCTAATCCTGCATTCATTTCACCCCCCAGACTCCCTCTGATATCAAACGGAGTTTTGGGTGTCCAAGAATGCAGGAATGGAATAAAGCCGGTGGAAAGTACTGAACTACAGCTTCAATGGCAACTCACCTGTGTGCCAATCCTAAACACATAGCTGCCATTTCCCGCGATGGAAGGCCAGTGATAAGCCCCTCGATTTGAGAACGAATTCCTCTCATCAGTTCAGTAACCATTGGGCTATGAATACAACTTAAATTCAGTTTATCCTATAAAATTAAGGTGGATATTAGGTGTTAACCAAGTTAAATCAAATCCTCTTACAAATTCTCTTTCAATACTACTATCTTTATAGTTTTTCTCCTACTAAGGTGTACTTGTTACCCATTTATGCTAGGCAAAAAAAAGTCAGAAGTAGTGACAACCTTCACGGGTAATAAACATCAGGATTTCCAGCACTGTAATCATCATACGTATTTTTCACTTTAACATCCTGGTATCAGGAGCAACAAGACTTGTAAGTAAGGCCCTGTGCACTCTGCCCCTAAGATCTGGGGCAACACCAGGATTTTGTAACTGATTAGTTCTACACTGCACACTACTTTTTATGCAGATTTTTCTATCAACAACCCACAACTGTGCCATCGAACAGGTCACAGTAGGAAGCGGAGGGTTTTGTAGCTGGCTCTGGTTCCAAGGAAGGAATGTGAGATGGTTTGGGGTTTTGACATCTCGGAGACAAATGAGGATTTTAGAATATAAATCTAATGTATCTCCTCTATACTTCCCCCCTTTCAGAATACATGGAGAATACATGCACATATCTGGGTGCTGTGGGGAATGTGAACTCCCAGCTACCCTTATAATAAGCAGCTGCCTCACTTGCCAAAGCAACCAACAGTGAGCAACCACATCAACCTGGATGTTTCTATAAATAAGATCAGTAGGGCAACAATTTATATTTATGCTGTCTGCTTTCACACTTGATACCCCACTGAGACAACAAAAAGTGTGCACACCTGAGTGCAGTTTCAGGATGTCCAGTTGCAGAGCAGACAACATCCTATCAACTTATATTCATCTGAAAGTTTCTCTTTCCATCTCAGAACTAGAAACTTTTTTCTAATGAAAGCTCATAATCTGCAGCACAATCCATGACTACAGGACCACAAAATACAGAGGCCCCTCTTCATAACATCTCAGCAGAATAAAACCAAATTAGAGAAGCAGTCAGTTTTCACCTTTATGACACCTCCGAGTTTGGCATCTGCTATGGCCAACTGTTCATGGGCATCTTTTGCCACTATCTTCTTTAGAATTTTCTTCAAGTTCTTGCTGAGCTTGCCCTCTACCAGAGCTGTGCATGCTGTAGAGGGAAGAAGAGAACGAAGATGCGGGTGAATAAATAAACAAACCAACCAACCTTTCTAAAATCTAACAGGTACTAAAAATACCATGTCCAACTTGATACACAAGGCTGTACACTTACATTCACACCTCTGCAAGCTACTATACTAACCAAAATTGCAGTTGAAATTTTTTGATCTTGCAGTCATTTAAACAAATGTCATAAAATGTTAGTACATTTGCTGTTCTTAATTTGAGAATATTTCTCCTCTAATTTTTCCCTCCTCCCTATATATGGAAAATCACCAAGACTGACTCCTAGTTCTGACAACTTTGTTAAAGATAACAGTCCACCAACTTTAGAGATGTACTGAACACCCCCAGAAGCGACTCTAAGAAGATTTAGCATATAACTGAGTTACCCAATGCCCAATTGACTTTTCAGACCTCATGAAGTCATATATCACCAGCTCCCACCACAGGCAATAGTCCAGTATATACTCTCTGATGATGATGTTGCAATATCCAGGAAAGCGCACTGAAGCATGAAGCCAATTTGTGCGGATGGCAGAAGTCAGATACAGCCCTTTTTAAGTTATGTGATGTGGATTTGAGGAGTTTTAAAAGAATCTTTATTTTAAAGTATAAATAAATCTGTAAAAGCTTCACAAACCCACATGACATATTTTAAGAGGTCACTTATGCAACTCCCTTGACAAGTTATCTTCATGCTCCATTGACCTTCTGGGATTGGTACAACATTTCCAGCCTAGCGTATGAAGCAGAACCCAGTGACCCATTATTTCAAAAAACTTGAAAGAAAGAAAGAAAAATGGAAGAACAAATGTAACTGCTGTGATAAATGCCTTCTCACCCTTGCTATGTGGGACATTAGCTATGTAACCTTAAATCTGACAGATAGTTCTTAAACCATTTGATATTTAAATAATGCTTAGCTACATATTTATCACTTATCTTCAAAACAATTTACAAATCCATCCTAGCAATAATCATGTGAGCTGGGTAGTTTAAATATCCCTGATTTCACAGATTCCTCAACTGAGGCAGAGAAACTGGGTGATTTGCCCAAGTCACAGAGCTTCTTCTGTATCACAGTAACAGTTAGAACCCAGGAATTCCTGGCACCTAGTGCTATAACAAGGCCACACTCATTCTAGATAGTGTGCACAAATGTAGGTGGGGAAAAAAACAGTAATTTCAATCTCAGTTATGATTTCATTCCATCCCATGTTTAAAGGTGGTCTCCTTTCCTGTACTTTCCTTGTTTTGTTTTTTGTACTTGTGATCCTAACAACTCTAATGTAGCGAGACTCATTGTTTGGCCAAAATACTACATTTGACATTTATCAACTGATTTTACTGTTATGGAGACACAAAAACACTCCCTTCAAGAACATGAGTCAGGCCACCCCTAAATAACTATTAGAAGAATATAAGCTATCACTTCAGTTCAGATTATTCAGAGCCTATAATGCTTCTGTGCTTAATTCCTAAGAATCACTCAAGTGGCAGGTTTTGCATGTGATTACAAATAATTCAGGAAGTCATGATCTTAGAAAAATAGGCATTTATCAAATACACAAACATATCCATCATACATCTCCATGAAGTGCAGAGTAAACAGCCCTAATGTAGCTATTACTAGCATTTTATCTGTTGTCTCAGTGGTAGTGACGAAATGTTGAATCAAATCATTAGAATTCAGTTTCAACACCAATGCATCATTGACAACAGGGTTCTATTCACTACTGATTTGTGTACTCATGACCATAAACACAGGAGCAAATAACTAGATTTCAATATTTTTATCTAGTGTCCAGAGGCACGGCAGCTGCCCGAGAAAACAAATACTTATGGTTTTGTTCTGAAGCACATGTAATCTAAAAGATAAACAATGAAGAAATAATAAGAGGGTGAGAGGAGAGTATGGGGCATATAATGAAAGTATGTGACTAGTTCTTTTCAGAAAAAAACAAGCTGCAAAGTTCAGAGTTAACTTTCTCAGCTTTACTTACCAGCAAGGGCTTCTGTTGTGTCCTGAAACTTTTCAAAGTGTTTCAATTTCACTCTAGGGGAAAGGAAATTTATTTTTATATTCAAGTTTACAATAGAGTAGCCCTGTCCTTCCCTCTTCCTTTATGATGCATAGCATCTGTCTTAACTTCCCAAACTCCCATCATAAATATCAGGTCCCTACTTCCCTAGAACATCACAGGAGGCTGAAGTTTGATTTTCAGATCTCCCAACCTCCAAATGAAGGGAAAGGGAGTTCGAGTCTTGGAACTGTAGATCAGCTTTCAGACCCCTGTTATTTCATCACCCAAGTCCCCCAAAGATCTTGCTAGAGATCTCCAAAGAGGTGAGAAATCAAGATCTAATATTTCTAATGAAAAAATACATACAAAAAATTTGAAAAAAACGAGACCATCTTTTTGTTTTGCAATTCATATTTAAGACACCAACTATTCAGATTTTAACACTACTCCTTTGATTAACTAGTAAAAGCAAGGAATATACTGCCTCTACTATAGCAGAGCACCAGCTCTACTAGAGTTGAGGTTACGAAACTCTTTCTGTTTCCAGGTTGACTCTTCTAAGAGCTCTACAATCCAGTTACTTGGATTTCCTTGAAATGTACAGACTCTCATGGGGGCACAGGCTAGACATCCAAATTTGGGGTCATTTGATGAAGGGATTCCTGAGATACAGGCCCCCCAAAACAACTTTTCTTAAAATTAACAGATTCTACTTTTTCTCTGTTTTGCTTTTGCACGGCACCCACTACCCCTTGGAGGAACAATATTGAAAACAGCATATGAAAAAGTTTAGCTCTTCAGATAGGCACATTCCTAACACTCACAAAAGCCAAATGGATTATACTGCGCATGTGCAAACAATGCCCAAGAGGTGTGGTAGGTAGTGATGACTCACAAACCTGTATGAGTCAAGGGGATGTATTACGGCCATCAAACCTGAGCAACACCCTGGCACTGTACGTTTTAATTTGGCCGTGATGAAAACTGGGAGGGGGGAATGAAGGCATGTACCTACAATCTGTGTTTTTTGTTTTGTTTTTTATTTGGAGGAAACAATCTGAATATAGCAGAAAATTCAAAAGGCTCTCAAACCATTTTTGAAAAGAAAACAAATTATACATACAAACGTTCGCTTGGATGGGGAATTAGGGGATAAGGGGTCTGGGACTGCAGAGAGGATAATGGGGCAGGAATAAATTGGTGGCAGAGCAAGTGGGAAGGATATGGGATGAGAACACAAGATGGCCCCACATTTTCCCTTCCTAAGTGTGAGCCAGAATCCACGGTGTTTGACTCCTCCCTGCCTCTCCACATGAGCAGACATCTGGGGAAACCCTGCCCTTCTGGGTGAGAAACAGAGAACAGCCATGCTGGGAGCATGCACCAAGAATACACTGTTGAGGCTGAAAGGTAAGGTGGAGAACAGGCACACTAAATGCATATCACTGGCTCTGGGGAAAGGGTATGAGAACACCGACTGACATTCACAAGTGTATGGAAGGATTTTCTATTCCCCATCAGTTTACCAGGTCCAAGTAGCCTATGGACAGTTCCCAGCTACATCAGCTGTGTCACCTCCCCAGGCCAAACTTCCTCTTCCTGGTGTAATCTTCCTCTCTGTTATCTAAAGAGTTGTGCTTAAGAAGCCATCGCGACCCAGGACAATTATCTCCAGACCTAGATTTCTGACTCTAGTCCAATCCTGATTAATCTGTGTCAGAAAAAGCTGTATTATCTGTAACAGAAGCAAGGTCACAGATAAAGCTACCCTCTCCTAACTTACTAAACTGCACTTGCGTCATCTCCAACAGCAGCTCAAGGCTTATGCTGCAAGGCTGAGTGAGACAAACATCTTTTCAGAAACATTGGAATTTCACAACTGGATCAGACCAAAGTCCATTCAGGCTAGTATCCTGTCTGACAGTGATCAGCATCAGACATTTCAGAGGAAGGTGTAAAAAGCCTGCAGTGGGCAGATGTAGGATACTCTGCCACAGCCACACCCACCCATGTTAGGTTTCACCCTGATCTCTAATACTGAGACTGGCTTAACCCCTGAAGACAGAAGTTTAATATACCTGCCAAAAGTTTGTCAAACTCAGGATATTCTTTATATTCATATAAATGTCCAATCCCTTTTAGAACGTTAAGGTTTCAGCTTCAACGCCTTCATGTGGCAGTGAGTTTCACAGTTTAATTACACACTGTGGGGAAAAGCATTTTCTTTTATCAGTTCTGAATTTCTCACTTTTTAATTCCACTGATCTCCCCTTGTTCTTGGGTCAGATCGTTCTTCTAATATTTAAAAGCTGTGAACTATACTGAAAAACAACGCAGGGCCTAGCTCCTTGATCTGAACATGCAGTTATCTTCCAAAGCCAGGCTGCCAGCCCCTCAAACTGCTTACATTTTATTTGCCTTTTCAGGTGTTTCAAATTCTCTCCATAAACTGTCAACTTCCTGGAGTTTCTTCTCATCCAGGACCTGTGGATAAAAAATGGAATCATTAAACAAATATTTAAAGATGTTTGGGATCATTGTTCGGTATAGAAACCGTGACCCCACTTTTTATGGTGCATCCTGCCTGAAAGCTGATGTTAGTTAAGTAAGTGGGCTAGCTCTTAGCCATCCAGTCTGTGACCACTACTTACTATTTTCTCTCCAGTTCTGCCCCACCAATATTTAACCATGTTAACAGCGTTTTACTTTCAGCAGGAACACAGCTACTGTATTGTTTTTCGCCCTCCAATAAAGGCAGGCCCTCTCTGAACATCTGCATTCTCTCTCTCTTTTTTAAGAACCAGACTTAAAAGCATCTGTCTCATCCCCAGTGACCTGGGACCAAACTTACTAACCAGCTGATCAGGGACACCACCACCAATGGGAAAATAAATACAAAACAAGTCACCTTCATAGAGAGCCTCAAGTTCCTTGAGGAAGAAAGAGGCTACTTCTAAAACAGAGCTCCCCCTCTTTGCAGTACAATGCATCCATACCAATACAGCCTCAAGAGTAAATTGATTAACAGACTGATATTTCAGCTTGCTGTCTCAAAAAGAAATCCTTTAGGGGGGCAGAGGTGGGCTGAGATCACAGTTATACTAACTACTCCACCGTATTCTGCGTTCACTTAATTTGCAGTGCACTAAGGCCTGGTCTACATTACAATGTTTCTCCTGCCAATGTAACTTGCCCACTACCCTGACCTAATAACTCCATTTCCACGAGAGGCATAGCACTTAGGTCAATGTAGTTAGGGAGATGCAGTGTCCATGTAGACATTGTATTACTTACATTGCCTGTTAGCCCCATGCCAGGCTCACAGCTGGAGCCACCCCACCTCTCACCCCAGGGCTGACGGTGCTGGGCTCATGGCTGAAGCCCCGCTGTCGGAGGGCTCCAGCGATGAGCCTGTCAGCTCTGGGGAAAGGGAGATCCAGCAGCGAGCCCCGTGCAGGCCTGATAGCTCAGGCTGTCAACCCCCAACACTGTCCCCTTAAATCGGGGCAAGGACTCCGGGTGAGGACATGCACCCGGACAGGAGGGCAGTGTGGATATGAAAAACTGCAGCAATTAACGTGGTGGCTGTACGTTGACCTAATTTAGGTCAACAATTTTGTAGTGTAGACAAGGCCTAAGAATTCTTAGTAAAATGCAGCCGGACACAGAGCCAGCAGAGGATCCCCGGGCATGGGGTGGGCAGCCAAGACCCTGGGCAGACAGCTGGGAGCGGATCCCTGGGTGTGGGGCGGGCAGACGGGACCAGAAGCGGAGCTGGGTGGTGCTCCCTCCATCCCCGTCATCCGTGGGGGCTGGTCCAGGTCCCAGCTACACCCCCCCCAATGTTACTCTGCACCCTCCTAGGGAGGCGTGCCCCACAGGTTGAAATCCTCTATTGAGTCCCCCAATTCCAATTCCTTCTCCTTATTCAGAACTGAACATTTAAAACAGTGGTTTTCAACGTTTTTTCATTTACGGATGCCTAAAACATGTCAAATGGTGGTGCAGACCCCTTTGGAAATTGAGCCTATGGTCCACAGACCCCTGCCATAGAAGTCTTAGGCTGAAAACTGACTAACCAGAATTCAACTATAAATGTTGCAAGTGCTCGGCAAGGCATTTGACACAGCGTGAGAAAGGGTGCTAAAGTGTGGGTTTCTATGGTGGTGGTAACACTTCTGGAGTATTCACATACATTTGACTGATGAGAGCACCAGAATGCCTTTTCTGGGATCTGAAATCTGAAAAAGTGCCACCATGGCTTAACAACGAAGTAAAAGAAGCAGTGAGAGGCAAAAAGGCATCTTTTAAAAAGTTTAAGTTAAATCCTAATGAGGAAAATAGAAAGGAGTATAAACTCTGGCAAATGAAATGTAAAAATATAATTAGGAAGGCCAAAAAAGAATTTGAAGAACAGCTAGCCAAAAAACTCAAAAAGTAACAGCAACATTTTTTTTAAGTACATCAGAAGCAGGAAGCCTGCTTAACAACCAGTGGGGCCACAGGATGATTGAGAAGCTAAAGTAGCTCTCAAGGGTGATAAGGCCATTGCGGAGAAACTAACTGAATTCTTTGCATCAGTCTTCACGGCTGAGGATGTGAGGGAGATTCTCAAACCGGAGCCATTCTTTTTAGGTGACAAATCTGAGGAACTTTCACAGATTGAGGTATCATTAGAGGAGGTTTTGGAACAAACTGATAAACTAAACAGTAATAAGTCACCAGGATCAAAGGAACTCAAATGTGAAATTGCAGAACTGACTTCAGTACCGGGCAAACTGGTTGAAACAATAGTAAAGAACAGAATTATAAGACACATAGATGAACATAATTTGCTGAGGAAGAGTCAACATGGTTTTTGTAAAGGGAAATCATGCCTCACCAATTTCCTAGAATTCTCTGAGGGGGTCAAAACCGGGTGACTGGGCAACAAAATGGCACATGAGATTCAATGTTGATAAATACAAAGTAATGCACATTGGAAAACATAATCCCAACTATACATATAAAATGATGGGGTCTTAATTGTATGTTACCACTCAAGAAAGATCTTGGAGTCATTGTGGATAGTTCTCTGAAAACATCCACCCAATGTGCAGCACGGCAGTCAAAAAAGCGAACGGAATGCTGGGAATTATTCAGAAAGGGATAGATAATAAGACAGAAAATTGTCTCTATATAAATCCATGGTATGCCCACATCTTGAATACTGCACGCAGACGTGGTTGACCCATCTCAAAAAAGATATATTGGAATTGAAAAAGGTACAGAAAATGGCAACAAAAATGATTAGGGGTATGGAACGGCTGCCATATGAGGAGAGATTAATAAGACTGACTTTTCAGCATGGAAAAGAGACAACTAAGAATGGATATGATAGAGGTCTATAAAATCGTGACTGGTGTGGAGAAAGTAAATAAGGAAGTGTTATTTATTCCTTCTCATAACACAAGAACATGGGGTAACCAAATGAAATTAATAGGCAGCAGGTTTAAAACAAACAAACGGAAGTAATTTTTTCACACAACGCACAGTCAACCTGTCGAACTCTTTGCCAGAGGATGTTGTGAAGGCCAAGACTATAACAGGGTTCAAAAAAGAAGTAGGTAAGTTCATGGAGGATAGGTCCATCAGTGGCTATTAGCCATGATGGACAGGGATGGTGGCCTTAGCCTCTGTATACCAGAAGCTGGGAATGGGTGATGATTACCTGTTCTGTTCATTCCCTCTGGGGCAGGACACTGGCCACTGTCAGAAGACAGGATACTGGGCTAGATGGACCTTTGGTCTGACCCAGTATGGCCGTTCTTATGAAACTTCATTTTCATAGTAACCTATGGTTGACCCCTTACACATAGTCTGCAGACCCCCAGGGCTCCACGGACCAGAGGCTGAAAACCACTAATTTAAACGAAGCCCTGGCCCTGTGGAGTTTGGGATTTCTATATCATTTTACAGGCAGACAGTGTGGTCCTAGCAGCAATAGCACAATCAGGAACATCTAGAGAAGGAAGCAGCAGCTAAGTAGAGCAAATGGTAAAATCAGCTAAGAAGTTCTACTTCCGACTATTGCAATATGAATATCATAAAATAATTTAACATACCCTAGGGTGGGTATTTTTGGTTGAATACTGCTGGTGGCACTTTCCAAAATTAATGGGGGGGGGGGGGGGATAGCTCAGTGGTTTGAGCATTGGCCTGCTAAACCCAGGGTGTGAGTTCAATCCTTGAGGGGGCCATTTAGGGATCGGGGGGACAGTACTTGGTCCTGCTAGTGAAGGCAGGGGACTGGACTTGATGACCTTCAAGGTCCCTTCCAGTTCTATGAGATAGGTATATCTCCATATATTATTATTGTTTATTTAATGCCGGGTGACTTCCCCTCTTACAAGCACAAAGTCTTAGTGTAGAAAATAAATTTTTAATGAAAGGAGGGAAGTATTGCCTCTTAGAAGCATTCAAGGGATGGTGTGTAATTTTCCCATGTTACTGGTTTTGTGCTGTATTGTTGAAAAGGAACCCCTAGATATTAAATCTGGCCCTGGTTGCTGCTGACTCCACCTGGCACACAGGTTACAGACACCAGTTCAGCAGCATGGCACATCAGCCTATCTATGATTATGTAATGATATGGTTGTGTGTCCAGTGAAAGATGTGGGAACTGAATCTTTGCTTTTCAAGTATAGCGGATGAATTCTCCCAATTTCAGCCAGCATGCAAATACACGTGTACACCAGTCAAGCCAAGCATTTTACATAAACAATAGCAGACAAAATTAAATTCAACACACCTTGTAAATGCAGTATTTAAAATATATTAATATCACTGCTGTTACGTTTGCCTCAGTCCTTTCACTTAGGAACTATAGGCATGATAGCAATTACAACAAATGCTAAAATAGAAATGCCAGAAATAGATGCAATGTGAGCATATTTAGAGAGAAATCATTGAGGACTAGTTAGGGGTAAACACCACAGTTTTTGCTGATACAAATTAACACGGCTACCATGCTGAAACCTAACATTTACAATTACACTTAGTCAAACAGAATACTGTAAATCAGTGGCTCTCAAACTTTTGTACTGGTGACCCCTTTCACATAGCAAGCCTCTGAGTGCAACCCCCCCTTAGAAATTAAAAACACTTTTTATATATTTAACACCATTATAAATGTTGGGGGCAAAGCAGGGTTTGGGGCAAAGGTTGACAGCTCGCGACCCCCCATGTAGTAACCTCACGGCCCCCTGAGGGGTCCCGACCCCGTTTGAGAACCCCTGCTGTAAATCAAACCTCATACGTAAAGGGGCCTCTGCAGGGTTAGGAATTAATTTATCCCTGCACTACACTGCATGATTGGTTAAGAACATTAGAACATAAGAATGGCCGTACCGGGTCAGACCAAAAGGTCCATCTAGCCCAGTATCCTGTCTACCGACAGTGGCCAATGCCAGGTGCCCCAGAGGGAGTGGACGTAACAGGCAATGATCAAGTGATCTCTCTCCTGCCATCCATCTCCATCCTCTGACAAACAGAGGCTAGGGACACCATTCCTTACCCATCCTGGCTAATAGCCATTAATGGACTTAACCACCATGAATTTATCCAGTTCTCTTTTAAATGCTGCTATAGTCCTAGCCTTCACAACCTCCTCAGGTAAGGAGTTCAACAAGTTGACTGTGCGCTGCGTGAAGAAGAACTTCCTTGTATTTGTTTTAAACCTGCTGCCTATTAATTCCATTTGGTGACCCCTAGATCTTGTATTATGGGAATAAGTAAATAACTTTTGCTTGTTTACTTTCTCCACATCACTCATGATTTTATATACCTCTATCATATCCCCCCTTAGTCTCCTCTTTTCCAAGCTGAAGAGTCCTAGCCTCTTTAATCTCTCCTCATATGGGACTCTTTCCAAACCCCTAATCATTTTAGTTGCCCTTCTTGGAACCTTTTCTAGTGCCAGTATATCTTTTTTGAGATGAGGAGACCACATCTGTACGCAGTATTTGAGAGGAGGGCGTACCATCGATTTATATAAGGGCAATAATATATTCTCAGTCTTATTCTCTATCCCCTTTTTAATGATTCCTAACATCCTGTTTGCATAAATTAATGGAGATATCCCATCTCCTAGAACTGGAAGGGACTTTGAAAGGTCATTGAGTCGAGTCCAGCCCCCTGCCTTCACTAGCAGGACCAAGTACTGATTTTGCCCCAGATCCCTAGGTGACCCCCTCAAGGACTGAACTCTCAACCCTGGGTTTAGCAGGCCAATGCTCAAACCACTGAGCTATCCCTCCCCCCCACAAGGGGGGTACGTCCCTTTTACCCCACCAGACGGATCCACCAATTGCCACTGCCATAGGCAGGGGTCAGACCTACCCTCCAAGGAGCCACGCGAGGTAGACAACGATTTCGTGGCGCAGGGAGCGAAGTAAATCCTCCCTTTCCTGTGTTAACCTGCTCCCGCCGCCTGCACACCTGGGGCAAGCCAGAGACATGAGACTCCGTCCCAGAGCCAGGCTGACTCCTGCCAGACCCCGCTCCCCAGCGCGGTATCGGCGCTAGGCTCGGGGCGCCAGGCCCAGCTCGCGAGGGCCCGGCCTGGGCAGGGCGACCAGCGGCTGACGGAGACTGGGCTCTCGCCGCAGCCACGTGGGTGGGAGCCAGAGCCCGGGCACGGCGAGCGCCCCCTCCCCCGCGCTGCTGCCGCCGCAGAAGGGGCCGCGAGAGCTACGGCCCGGCCCGGCCCGGCCCGCCCGGGGAACGGCGAGGCGGCGGCGCGCGGCCTACCCCTGCCCCGCGCCTCACCTTGAAGACGGCGTATCCGGCCGGGGTCTCGAATAGCACCAGCATGGCGGGCAGAGGTGCGGGACCGGGTCAGCGAGAGTCGGTGACAACTGGGGCCGCAGCGCCGCCGGGGGAAGCGCGCCAGGACACGGCCACGTGCGGGAAGAGGGCCACAGCTCCCAGCGCCAAGACGCAGCGCACACGGCGAACCGGAAGTGAGGAGACCGGAAACTGTCCGGCCTCGCCAGAACGCGGGGGCGGAATTCAGCGGATGACGCGGCGAGGCTGCAAGGAGAGGGCGGGGGGCCGGGCTCGGCGGATGAGGGGGCGGGGCTGTGAGGAGAGCGCGGGGGGCCGGGCTCGGCGGATGAGGGGGCGGGGCGGTGAGGAGAGCGCGGGGGGCCGGGCTCGGCGGATGACGGGGCGGGGCTGAGGGCAGGGGCCGGGAGGGGGCTCAACGGATGACAGTGCGGGGCTGTGAGAAAGGGGCGGGCTCAGCCGATGCGGGCTGGTGCAGATTAGAACCCTGCTCAGACCTAGCTGTTGATCCCAGGGCTCCTGGCAGTGCAGGCCTGGGCCTGGCCCTGGGATGAAGGGGCAAGTGTTAGTAGCAGTGTTGTAAGCAAGAAGTAATTTTTCCAGGGTACTCCGGGCTGATTAGGCCTCAGTTGGAATATTGTGTCTAGTTCTGGGTGCCATATTTCGGGAAAGATGTGGACAGATTAGAGAAAGTCCAGAGAAGAGCAACAAAAATGATTAAAGGTCTAGAAAACATGAGCTGTGAGGAAAGATTCAAAAGTCAGGGTTTGTTTAGTCTGGAGAAGAAGGGACATGATAACTGTTTTCAACTACATAAAAGGTTGTTACAAGGAGGCCGGCGAAAAAGTGTTCGCGTTAATGTCTGAAGATAGGCCTAGAAGCAACAGGCTTAATTTGCAGCAAGGGAGGTATTGGTTGGATTAGGAAAAACTTCCTAACTGTCAGGGTAGTTAAGCACAACAAATTGCTTTGGGAGATTGTGGAATCGCCATCACTGGAGGTTTTTAAGAACAGGTTAGACAAACACTTGTCAGGGATGCGCTAGTTATTACTTAGTCCTGCTTTGAGTGCAGGGGACTGGACTAGATAACCTCTCAAGGTCATCCCTGCCAGTTCTACACTTCTGTAATTGTATAAGCCAGTGGGGCTGGCTTGGAGGGGCACAGTTACATTCCTCTGGAGCCCCCAAGCTGTTGGGAAGCTCATGTAGCTGGTACCACTGTGGTCATTTGTGCAGGTGACTACGTTGTATTTTATCAGGGTTGTTTGAACCCCTGCCCCTTCCTGCCCCCCAGAGTGTCCTGGGGGTTAATAAGCTGCAGGATATACCTACACCTCAAATCAGTGTAGGAGCTGTCTCTAGCTCAGAGTTGCTGAATTGTTTGGATTTCCAGTTGGTGAGACAATCCAGATTTACGTTTTCACTCTTGCTCGTAGACCTGTCTTGGGCTCTAGGCTTATGAGGTTCATAGAAAATGTACTCTGACACCTTTATTTTTGATTAAGATGGAGGAATGGATCTGTTCTAAGTAGTCCCCCTATTTTGACCACTTGTATCAGACACTTAGACCATGCTCTAATGGAAAAGGAAGTGCTGATATAGTTCTCTCTATCCCAAAACACAATCAGCCAATGTTTCTGCACTCCCATCTGCTTTCCCCTTTCTAGTCTTCCCTGGCTCCTTCTCTCACCTCTTTCTTTAGCCCAAACCAATCTCCTCTGCAACTGTCTGTGCTCTGGAGTATGACTGTTGGCTTCTTCCCATCTACCTCTATCCTGGTGGGCTCCAGGATCTTCATCCAGCAAGTCTGGCCTCAGTGTCTTCTGCCCTGTTGGAAAATGGCACCCCAGCACAAGAACTTAAGCAGACTCAACTGGCCTTCAGCTCTCTGGTGTCTTAAGTGTTGGATCTGAACTGGTTTGACATTGGCCTCCTCCGTCCCTACACCTGGGGTGGGTTTTCAGTTGTAGGGCCTTTCTGTCCATTCACGTACTGGCTGGAACATGTTCATGTACTTTCCATCCTGAAAGCAAAAGAACTCCTTAGGGAGGACAGAAAGGCCATTAGCACCTGGAGAAGTGCTGGTTGGGTATACTGGGTATTCTGGCTCAAGTTGAGCTCTGCACTTAAGGCCATTGTAAGATGGTTTTAAGATAAATGGGTTAGTTAAGCTTCGTTAAGAAAACATATGTTTTTTGTAGCTTGTGTAGACTGTAGGTGGTTAAGCAAATGTAACAGGGCCTTGAGAATAACATGTTAAGTTAGAAAGTGGCATCTAGCAAGACAAGATCTGGAGAGGATGCTGAGCTTGGAATATGGCTAAGATAAAAAGGAAGTTTCTGGAAAAGGGGCTTCTCAACTATAAGAAATTATTACAAACTGGTTCTAATAGACAAAGAGAAGTTGTTTTGTGATGTGATAAACTTATAGTAACCTCCAACATACCAGTGTTATCTTAAGATATGGGCTTGTGTAAGGAAGTGAACCTAGCTTTAAGATCCATAAATTTAAGATAATTTGAAAGAAAGAGGCCTCACTGTCATATCTTGTTTCAGCCAAGGCCAAGAAAGAGGTCAACCACAAACTGGCCAAAACCTGTTTTTTGTAAAGGTCATTAAGACATCACTTGTTTGTTACACTGTATAAAAGAACCAGGCTTGCTAGGAGTATTTATCAGATTCTTTCTGATACGCTGGAGCAAGCCAGGATAAGAGGGTTATCTCTGGGACTTATCCTTTTGTGAGTATTCTGATCAAATGCTTATGAATGTTTGTTACTGTTTGGGTGTAGTAACTGCTTATTATTTAGGCTTTTAGACATGTTCAGAGCAAGTGTATAAATACCATTGGGCCTTTGGATTTAATAAAGGAATTGATGGTTACATTTATGTCTGGTGGTATCCTATATTACTATTATCTATAACAATAATTCCAACAGCCATATATTGTCATTATATAGCGCTTTTAATGCAGAAGGATCCCACAGTGCTATATAAACATTACCAATAGATTTACAAACTATATACAGGATTTTTTTCACCCAGCACTGAAGTGGAGCAACTGTTTAACATTGCACAGCAACATTACATAACAGTTTAAGAAGTCCTTGAAGGAGAGGAAACTGAAACTGCAGTTGATATCAATGGGAGTTGTGTGTATATCTTGAATGCCATAGATCAGTGTTTCCCAAACTTGGGACGCCGCTTGTGTAGGGAAAGCCCCTGGCGGGCTGGGCCGGTTTGTTTACCTACCGCGTCTGCAGGTCCGGCCAATCGCGGCTTCCACTGGTTCACTGCTCCAGGCCAATGGGGGCTGCTGGAAGCGGCGTGGGCTGAGGGACGTACTGGCTGCCGCTTCCAGCAGCTCCCATTAGCCTGGAGCAGTGAACTGCGGCCAGTGGGAGCCGCGATTGGCCAGACGTGTGGATGTGGCAGTAAACAAACCAGCCCAGCCCGCCAGGGGCTTTCCCTACACAAGTGGGTTCCCAAGTTTGGGAAACACTGCCATAGATCAATGGTTTTCAAACTTTTTTTCTGGCGACTCAGTTGAAGAAAATTGTTAATGCCCGTGACCCAACAGAGCTGGGGATGAGGGGTTTAGGGTGTGGGAGGGGGTTAGGGCTGGGGCAGAGGGTTGGGGTGAGGGCTGCGAGTTGGGGCTGGGAATGAGTGGTTCAGGGTGTGGGAGGGGACTCTGGGCTGGGGCAGGGGGTTGGGGTGTGGGAGGGGGTCAAGGCTCTGGGCTGAGGGTGCAGGCTCTGGGGTGGGGCCAGGGATGAGGGGTTTGGGGTGCAGGAGGGGACTCTGGGTTTGGGGGGGGGACCTCAGGACTCAGGCAGGGGATTGGGGCGTGAGCTTACCTCGGGCAGCTCCTGGTCAGCGGCGCAGCAGGGGTGCTAAGGCAGGCTTCCTGCCTGTCCTGGCACCGCAGACAGCGCTGCACCCCAGAAGTGGCCAGCAGCAGGTCCAACTCCTAGGCAGAGGCACGCATGCAGCTCTCACCTGCAGGCCCGATTCTCCCAGCTCCCATTGGCTGGTTCCCGGCCAATGGGAGTGCAGAGCCAGTGCTAGGGGCGGGGGCAGCACGCAGAACCCTATGGACCTTCCTCCCCCACCCCGCCTAGGAGCTGGACCTGCTGCTGGCTGCTTCCGTGGCACAGCGTGGTGTCAGAACAGGTAGGAACTTGCCTGCCTTAGATGGGCAGAACCACCAATGGGACTTTTAACAGTGCAGTCGGCGGTGCTGACCAGAGCCGCCGCGACCCAGTGCCTTCCATTCTGTGACCCCGGTACTGGGTCGCGACCTGCACTTTGAAAATCACTGCCATAGATGGCTCTAATTTGAGGAACTTTATATATTACCCTGAAATATACTTGTTACAGGGGACCAGGACATAAAGTCCAAAAACTGAACAGTGTCCTGATCAGTGAAAAAAAATTACAGAACAAAGCCAGTGGACAGTAATTTATTTATCAGATGCTTTTCTTTTATTTTCTCTGGATAGCTAGAAGACTTGGTGATATCTTTTCCTTTGGGTCTTGCTGTCTAATTAAGGGCCTCTGCATACAGTCTCATTAAAGACAATGGGACTACTCACATGCATATATGTTGGCAGAGCTTTTCTAAAATGCTCATCATCATGGCTGTAGCCCATAGCCACAGAAATAATATTCTGAGATAACTTTTGTCATCAGAAGGTATGTTACAGTTTCAGTGTTGTTTTGTTTTGAACTGTGCAGAGAAAAGTAGTTCTTAAATCTTCTACCAACTGCTCCTATAATGCAGTAGTTATAAATGTTTGAGTAACTTCTTACTAAACATTCTACTTCTAAATATTCAAATCACTATCCAGAATGTTATGGTTTATTAATATATCATTCGTAGTAACAGAATGCTGTCTTAATGTGTTTTTACTGCACTCGTCTTGTTAGGTTTTATTTGATAACAGATTTCCATGTCCTCCTGAGTTTAACTCTTTGTTTATTTTTCATAACTTAGTAGGTTACTGAACACAGATTTGCTTTCCTCTCACTAAAGGAAGAAAATTAAAATTAATTTACTCTGCAGTTGTGCACTCACGTGGTGTCTCAACTGCATTTCAAGCTGGACAGAAACTGCTTTGCTTTGGAAAGATTATGTACACAGCCTGTGCGCTCTGTTGTTTTATCTTGAAGT